TATCCTTGTCAATGTCTTTATTCATCTTGTTCTTGTTTTGAAAATTGAAGGAGAAGACTTGTTGATGATCACATTCTGATCAGAACCCAAATAGGACCATGTCTCAAAGTCATGTGTTCCTGAGTTTCAATAGCCATGACACTGGTAAATCATTTACAGATCACCTTCATACAGCCTTGTTAAATGTTGGAATCCAAACACATGATACCTTGGAGAAATCCAAGATTGCTCTTGTGGTTCTGTCCAAGAACTATGTTCTGACCATGTGTTGTCTAGACGAGCTTGTCAAGATCATCGCATTTGGACCCGTCGTAATTCCAATCTTTTATGATGTGGATCCTTCGGAGATGAGGACGCATGAAAGKTTTGAACAAGTGTTTGATCAAGATGGGCTGCCACGTGATGATGATAAGATGAAGCGATGGCGGCATGCTCTCGGTCAAGTTGTGGATTTGGGAGGAATGGTGTTACAAAATCGGTAAGTAGTCTCAACACCGATTGTATTTAGCTTACTAAACACAAACACCGATTGTATTTAGCTTACTAGACAAAAACATAAGCGATTGTCTCCRAGTTTTTGACACGGGATTTTGGGCTTCTTTCGAGTTGCTTTTCTTCRTTTTGCCAACAAGGCAAGAACCAAAGAAAAACCTCAAGATAACCCTCAAATTCTCTCTACCAAAGTTTGTCTGTCATCAGATCCGGCCCTTTGCGAGCTTTTCTTTCATATCTTGTGGGCTCTGTAGCCAGGGCCGTCCTTTGGAAGGGCAGGTCGGGCGTACGCCCAGGGCCATAGAAAGTAGGGGTCCAAATTTTTTAATATATATAATAGTAGTTCAAAAAGATTAGTAAATAAAAAACATAAAAAATTAGTATCTAATATGACAAGAAAATATTTTTGTACTACATTAACTATTTTAAAGACCAAACATGTATGAATTAAATATATTGGAGAAAGAAAATACATAAAGATGTTAATCCGTCGTTCATTATATAATATTATTTAATGTTTTTCTAAGTTTTTTTTATCTAAAACCGACGTCTAAAACTACTTGCTTCGAAAACTTTGATATATTCTCCATAATTTATCTCCCATCGACTCTTTTGATTGTTCCATTCTCGCATGAATTCTATTTTTATATTAGAATATGATAGATTTTTTTTGTTATTAGCTAACAAAACCCCCATATTTTGAAAAAAATTACCAACCATATAAGACGGTACAACTTATATCTATATTTAGAATAATAACACTATAATTGTTTTTACATAGTTGTTCTTTATTATCTCATATTTAGTGTATAAATCTTATGTACTATTCCATCTCTAAAAGAAGTATAAGATTTCAAACTATCACCAACATGAGTTTTTTAATTTATATAATCGATGATTCATGAAAAGTTTGTTTTAACCCTAACTCTATGTTCTCGAGTATTTTTTAATGTAGGAAAGAGAGAAAAGTAATGGGGGAAGAAAAATATTCTGTTCTCGAGATTTTTTTAGGGAAAGGAAAAGGGAAAGAAAAAAATTATATCAAAATTTATTTTTATTTTATTATTTTTCCTTCCACTCTTCTCTATTAAAAACACAAATAAAAAACTTTATTTTTCTTATTTTCTTTTATTTTTCTTTTCTTTTCTCGTTCTTTCTTTCCTTCCCAAATTCGAAAATATAATATAGAAGTTTAAAATGATTTTAATCTTCTTAAATTCGAAAACATAGTATAAAAGTTTAAAATTGTGTTAATCTTCCCAAATTCGAAAATATAATATAAAAGTTTAAAATGGTGTTAAAAAAGATTAACATGAGATGACATAGAAAACCAACCTATTTACATTGATTTACATAGTGTCACTCGGAAATAAGAAGAATCGACTTTGTGACTCCAAATGATATCATTCTATGTACCAAAACACTACCAAAATTACCCTCTTTTCCGGCGGA